AACAATAACAAAAATCACATGATTGCATCAATAGATACAGAAAAAGCTTTTAACAAAATCCAACATCCATTGATGATAAAAACCTGGAAGAAAATAGATATAAAAGGCCCTTATTTTAATCTGATAAAATCCATGTATGACAAACTAATGGCCAACATCATACTGAGTAGGGAGAAACTGAAAACTTTTCCTCTAACATCAGGAACAAGAAAAAGATATCTACTATCAACACTCCTGTCCGATACAGTACTTGAAACATTAGCCAGAGAAAGAGATAAAAGGGATATGTATAGGAAAGGAAGAAATCAAGTTATATTTACAGATGATATGATCCTTTACATAGAGGACCCAAAAATATTGCATCAAAAGACTCCTAGAAATAATAACCAAATTTAGCAAGGTAGGATACAAAATCAACACACAGACATCAATAGTATTCTTGTACATCAATAATGAACTCACTAAGGAAGAAATTAGGAAAAAATACCACTCACAATACCATCAAAATAAATTAAATATAGTACTTAGGAATTAATCTAAGCAAGAAACTGAAAGACCTCTATAATGAAAACTATACTACTAGGAAAAAGGTGATCAAAGAGAACACCAGCAAATGGAATGATGTCTCCTGGTCCTGGGGAAACATAATGAACATTGTCAAAATGGCAATACTTCCAAATCTGATATACAGATTTAATGCAATCCCAATCAAAATGTCAAAAGCATTTCTCATAGAACTAAAGAAAACAATTCTAAAATTCATATGAAATAAGAGACCCAGAAGAGCAAAAGCAATCCTTGGCAGAATGAACAAAGCAGGAGGCATCACAATACTTGACCAAGTTATACTACAAAACTAGCATGATAAAAACAGCATACTATTGGCACAAAAGCAGACTTGTTGGTCAATGGAGCAGAATAGAGCATGCAGAAAAAACTCCAAGCACACTTAGCTACCTTATCTTTGACAAGGGAGACAAACACTTTTACTAGTGGAAAGATAGCCTCTTTAACAAATGGTGTTGGGAAAACTGGCTTTCCACTTGCCAAAGATTGAACCTAGATGCATGTTTTTCACTATGTACTAAACTAAAATTGAGATAGATCAAAGATCTAAATATTAAAACAGAAACAATCTGCTGGAAAGTAGACTAGGTAAAACTCTTGAAAACATAGGAATAGACAAGGACTTTCTCAACAGAACCCCAATTACACAAGAAAGAACAGCAAGAGTCAATAAATGGGATCATATCAAATTAAAAAGCAAAAGAAACAACCAACAGAGTAAAGAGACAAGCTACAGAATGGGAAAAAAATTTTGCCAGCTATATCTTGGACAGAGGACTCATATCTAGCATATATAAAGAATTCAAAGAAATTAGAATCCCCTAAACACAAGACCCAATCAAAAAATGGGCAATGGAAATGAATAGATACTTCTCAGAAGAAAAAATTTTTAAAAGCCCATTAATGCAAGAAAAGTGTTCAGCTTTGCTTGCCATTAGAGAAATGCAAATTAAAACAACTCAGATTTTATCTAAGTCCAAAATAAAAAAAAAAATCATCAAGAAATCTAGCAAATGTTGGCAAGGCTGTGCGAAAAAGGAACTTTCCTACATGCCTGGTAGGAATGTGAACTAGTATAATCATTATGGAAATCAATATGGAGATTCCTCAAAAAACTAAAAATAAAAATTCCATTTGACGGAGCTATTCTCCTACAAGGCTTCTTCCTAAAAGAGTTATGTATCATATTACAGTGATACATGCAATTATTTACTGCATTATAATTTATAATAGATAAATCTTGGAAGCAGCCTATATGTCCATCAATAGATGAATGGATAAAGAAAATGTGGTATCTATACATAATGGATACTATTCTACTATAAAGAAAGATAAATTTGAATTGAATGTAGGGAAATGGATGCACCTTGAAAACATAATGTTAAGTGAAGTAAAGCAGACATACATGCTTAAATACCATATGGTTTCCCTCATATGAGAAATCCAAAGTATAAATAAAGTAACAAGCAAAATAAAAGAGAGATAATAGGAAATGGAGAGAGATCTTTTGCAAATATGGAGGGGATCAGGAGATGGAGGGAAGGGGGAAGGAAGTTCAAGAGAAAGGGATGTAAAAAGAATTAAGATGTGTCATGTACATGTACAAAATGCCCACAATGAAAGTAGTTATTATGTACTGCAAACATGTACTAAAATTTTTTTTTAAATATACGATGTGCCCAAAGCATCTTATAGTGAAAGAAAGTGAGGGGGATAAAAAGAAACAGATGGTTACAAGAAGATAGAGTAGCAATAATCTGAAGTCTAATCCTACATCCTACCTGAGGTACTGGGTATAAGAGAGTGGATCTCCACGTTGAAATGCTGAGGATAACCAGTATTCAGAGCAAGTTCACCTGAAGAAGCAGAAGAAATGTTCTGTGATTGAATTAAGTATGTAGGAGGACAGTTTGTTTCATGAAACAAACTAGTGAAATTAGTAAGTAAGGAGTGGAGACAAAAGAGGAGATGGGAAAATCATCCCAAAACAGAATGGGAGCGAGAGTGCCAAAGAAGGAAGAATTATGGATGACAGGTATGTACCAGAAAGTCCAAGCAAGTTTTCTGGAAAACATAAAAAGGGAGAACAGAAGGGTGGTAGACCACTCTAGAAGAAGTTGGCCTAGGGTAATAGCAATCATGTTTCTAGTGGATTCTTAGGCCACATGATCAGGCTAGACAGTTCCCAGGATAATCGTTACCTGCTTAGAACCTACAGTAGTCAGGGTGGATTTGAGAATTTGGGCTTCTGGAAAGTCATCAGTGATCCTTGGAAATATTACTTCCTTTAAAAAAAAAATGGAATTTTGAAATGTTTTCACTTGAGATACAAAATAACATGAATGCTTAGCTCTTGATTTCTCCACTGTCCATACCTATAGAATACCCCATGACTCATTTCCCCATGGACACAAGGTAGGCATGTTGCCCAGGCTGTGGGGATCATATCTTACTTCATCCATTCTTGGTCACAGTAAATGGTGGGGATTGGGTCATAGGCTAGCCGGTTTCCCCCACAGATTTCTCTAGCAGAACCTAAAAAAGAGAGGTGCTGTGGCACAGCTGTGATGCTAGAGCTGTTAGACATGCTATTTCCCCTTCCTTGAGGGAGGAGACAGCATCTGAGTTCCTGGTTCCAGCCTTAAGTCTCCAGAGTAACCTGGATTTCCATGGGCTGTATCTGTCCCATAAATCTCCCCCTTCCTGCTTGAGTTTATAAATAAACTTATGAATGCCCTAGAACATGCAGTTTGAGGAAATGCCTCCAGTTTAAGAAAATATGCTTTGAAGTTTCAACAGGGCCCTTGCCTAAAAGTTACACTGGTTCAAAAGCCTGTCAAAGCCAAGTGTGATGGTGCATACCTGTAATCCCAGCACTCAAGAAGCTGAGACAAGAGAATTGCCTCAAGTTCAAGGCCAACCTGGGCACATAGTGAGTTCAAGGCCAGCCTGAACTGCATGGTGAGACCCAGCTCAAAAAAAAAAAGCTATCAACTCAAATTCCCTAAAAAATTTAGGTTGCTTTCATTTTAAAATTCAGGAAGCTCACACTTTGCATTCTTTTTGTTGCCAGGTGAGATTAAATTTCTGATTAGTATTTTCTTTTCCAGAAGGCAATGTGGCATGAATTGCCTTTGAAATTCTGAGGCAGCTGGATGCGCTGTGGGTAGATGCAAGGAGGTGGGGGTGGTTCTATTGTTCACTGTGGTCTTTTAAAGGTAAGAGATCTGGGTATGGAAGGGGGCAGGCCATCCTACTCTCAGGTGGATGATACCAGGACTAATCTCATTAGTACTCCAGACCTGGCTGCATGCCAGAAGGTAATTGACCAGGTAACTGAGAAAGAGGGCGAGAAAACACTGTAATATGACACAGCACAAGGCAGAATGGGGTTTGCACTGCTATTGTGTTTCAAGCAACCTTGGAGATGTGGCTATTTAATTCATCTTCTCCTTTCCCAAGGTCAGACAGAATGGAGCTAAACACTCCCATAACAGATGAGGGAGACAAGGGAAAGGGCATTGTCCTAGGTTAGTCCTTCATACTGGCAAGTGGATAAAAAGCTCCAGAATCTATTTGGGGAAGGAGGCAAGCACTCTTGTGGTTTTAATGACATTTACTAGATGCCTGTTGTAAGATCCTGTGCTCACTCATTATCCAGGCTTCCCAACCTACATTTAAATTAGTGCTTGTTTTGAGAAAAGCAAGCTCTTGGATCCTAAAGGGGAGTAATGTTTTGAGTACTGAAATCATTCAAAAAAATCTCTAGAAAACTTTTTAAGGATAAATGTTAATCTATCTTCAAGTTTTTCAACTATTCTTTTTAAAATAAAAATTCTACTGAGAGGGCTGGGGATTTAGCTCAGTGGTTGCGCCGCCTGCTGTGCAAGCGCAAGGACCCGAGTTTGATCCTCAGTACCAAAATACAAAAACAAAAACAAAAAATTCTACTGAGGGCGTCTCATATGCTAGTCAAGCACTTTTCCACTGGGAAATACGTCCCCATTCTACTCTTAATAACATAGCCAAAAGTGCCCTTTAAGTGAAATGATGCTAAGAGTTAAAGACTGTGGAGAAATATTAGCTCAACAGAAGTTCATTAGCCTTGTTAGGGAATTTAGATTTTAGTATTTTTAATACAAAATATTTCATTTAAAATAAGTATTATTATTAGATGAGAGGGAACAAGAGGAAGGGAAAAGGGATAAGGGAGGGTAATGTGGAGATAGATATCATCAAAATGTTATATGCATGTATGAAAATACCATATTGAAACCCAGTGTTTTGTAAAATTAATATGCGCTAATAAAAATGTATTTAAAAAAATAGGCTAATTTTCCAATAAAATTTAAATTGTATGATAATTTATTTTAAGGATTTTTACAAAACATTTTATGAAAATTATATATACATAGGAAGTACAGTAAAATTGAACAATTTATATTCTAATTTAAACTTTGTGCAAAGCATATCTGTGACTACCCTTATGCTGCGTTCATATAGTAAAGCTGTAAGAAAAACAATCATATTATGCAAGTTTTTTTAAACATATTTTATTATAAAATACAGACCTATTTTAGGATAGAATTAAGCCCAAATAAGCCAAGAACTGAATTCTACTTTAGCCAGTGGGTGGCACCAAAGTACAGTTGAGCCCAGGAAAAGGGGATTGAACTTGGGACCTTGAGCTTGTGAGGCAGGCAGTGGAACCACTGAGCTAAGTCCCTGGCCCAGGGAGAGCAGTTTTGGAAGGCAAAAATAAATGCAGTAAATCAGTCTTATTGCCCTAACATGAAATTCCATTTTTTCTTGGCGATTACTGAGTATATACTTGTTTTACTATATAATTCTTTGTCATCATTGATATTCTTCCCCCTGCCCCATCCCAGGAATAACTTTCTATTATATTTTTCTCCCTATTTACAAGTCCTACATTTTTCAATAATCAAGGAGAAGGACTTAACTGGAACACAAGATTGGGGTATGAAACACAATGGCAAACTAGAAAATTTTCCTGTTGAAAATAACCCAGATTCAGTATTTCTTGGCAGCTTTTTCTTTGAAGAAGCAGCAACAGTTAGGTTTTCCTAGCTTGGTCACATATCTTCTTTAATGTTGGAATCACAAGCCGCACATCTTGTCATTATTTAAATCCCTTGGGCCTTTTAATCAAATAAACACATGCACATTGACTAATGTGCTGTGTAGTAGTGTTCATCAGGAGTGACAGATAGAAAGTGAAGATTTTTGTCCACATAGTCAGATTTTCAAGATCAGGTTCCATCTATGTAGTAATTTTCAATGGAGAAGCCAGTAGACTCTGAGCTTACTTGGAAATTTTGGCAATCAAAAGCATTCTGAGGGGCAGTGTGGCTTCAATCCAAGTGTTGGGGGAATTTACCATCTTCTCCCAGAGAGCAACTTCCTCCAAAGTGGAATCCATCCAATCTACTTCAGTCCCATAGCTTTTACCTGAAAAAAAAAAAAAAAAAGGTAGTTTGCATTTTACAATGAATAACCTCTTTGGGGAACATGGAGTGTGTGATTCCCTAGTAATAACCACCAATGGAAGACAGATCTGGGACACAATATAAGGATATGTAATTATTTGACCACCTGAGTGACTCTATTGTTGAGATTATTCCCATAATGCCAAGAACAACAATTTCTCTTCACATGAATGTAAAAGCTGGATGAAAATTTATCAGGGATTGGTGCATGCCTGTAATCCCACCCAGTACTTGGAGGTGAGGCAGGAGTATCACCATGAGTTTGAGACTAGCCTGGGCTACATAGTGAGTTCAGGACCAGTCTGAACTACACAGCAAGACCCTGTCTCAAAACACAAAAACAAACAAACAAACAAACAAAAATTTATCAGGACATAAAAGAATTAAAAGGTTTCTGCATTGTGCTGGAGGTGATACTTGAAGATGCCTAGGAAGTGAGGTTAAGGCTTCAGTGCCAAGCAGACTTAATTTAGAATCTTGAATCTTTCCATGAGTAGCTCTGTCACTTAATATTTTTGGCTATCGGGCTGGGGATTTAGCTCAGTGGTGCCACACCTGCCTCGAAAGCACCAGGTCCCGATTTCAATCCCCAGTACCAGAAAAAAAAATTTTTTTTTTGGCTATCATTCCTTTGGAGATAATATTAGTAAATATGTCATAGAACTGTTATGAGGATTAAATGAAATAATGCAAATGAAACATTTAATACCATGAGTAGTGCTCCATAAATATTAGTTATTATTATTCAAAGTACACCTTTAGCCCTGAAGGACCACAAATGTGTTTTCAGGGGAAAGTAGTGATAAAGAATTACTGTTCCCTAGCCCTTTCCCCCAACAGTAACTTGAGCTCTATATGACAGACACTGTACCCTGTTAATCCTCATATCCAGAGGCCTTGGCACACGGCCTGACACTCCTTCCTTCATTCATTCCGTTACACTTAATGGATATAAAGTATCTATTTTCATCAGAAAGAAGCAAAGCAACAAATTTGTAATGTCTCCAGGAGTATTTGGCTCATGGAGAATTAAAAATGTAACAAATGTTACCTGTTCCAAAGCCAATCCGAAGACCTCCTAAAAACTGGTTGGTTAATTTGTAATGGTCCCAGACAGTGAGCTCTACACAGGCTTCCATCAGATCTTCAGGCCTGAACCCATCATATACCATGGTGTGGTTGAAGACGGGGTTGTTGGTTTTCCCTACAGCTCTTGTCTTCTGGCGACTTTTCCTACTGGTATCTGGAAGAATGGTACTACAAAAAAAGGCATTATTATGACAGCATTTCAGTAAGATAGTGAACTTTTGTGCTTCCGATACACTTCAGCACAGCTACTAAAGGTTGGTAATGGAGGGGGAAAGACGGGAGTGACAGTGCTGGTGGTTTGGTCGAAGGGAGAGAAAGGTGCATCATGCTGGAGAGACTCTGGAAATAGAGCTGGGTAGACTTAATTTGAACCCTGAGTCAATGCCACTCATTGACTATACATTTTAGGAAAAGTTACTTAATCTCTCAGATACTTGCTTCCTCATCTGCAAAGTGTGAGTGGTGATGTTGACATCAAAAGGTTGCTATTAGAATTAACACATGAAAAACACTTATGGACAGACACAGTGCTTGCATTTAGTAGCAACTGCCTGCGGATTTCCTTAAAATTTAAAAGTACAGGCTATTCCTGATTATCTACAATAGCCTAAGGAATTACTGTTACACAGTGTTGAAAAAGAAGAGAAACCTCTCCAATTTGCTAGATTTGACTTTGAGAATTAATATGATACTTTTGCTATCATTTGTGTTTTATTTGAGGTAATAATTGAATGAACTTTAATCTACTACATCTCTTATGAAGGCAAGAAAAGTCTAAGAGTAAGTTTAAGTCTAAGAGTAGTTTCAATATGGGACAATATGAGTTAAAAAATTTTACTGGCTGACATCTGTGAAAAATATGTACAGAGAGAATCAGAAATAACACCATATATATTAAAATCTATTTCACATATATTTAAATAACTACTTGTCTCCTAGTAGAATCTACATAGATAAAATTAGAGGGAACAAGGATATTATACTAATCTGTTTAGTTATTATTTACTAGATGCCAGTCACTTTAAATGTATAATAGAGAAAAAGTTTACCACTTAAAAGCCTAAACTATCTTAAGATCTAATGAGCTAACTCTTAGTAAGGGTTTATGTAGCAAATCATTTTCCAAATATCTGCATTCTGATACAAAGAATCTTTGCAAATGGACCGCAAAATATATGGGACAAAAGAGTAAAGAAATGTCTCCTGCTGCACAAAGGAGCCAAAGAGTATGACATTCACTATTAGAAATATGATAAACCTCACCAACAGATATATCCATAAAAGTCCTTACATATCTGAGTTTGAGGTCTCAGTTTCATCTATCTCTACCTCTTAGTGGGGTTTTTTTTTTGGGGGGGTGTTATTTTTTGAGACAGAGGTTGCTATGTAGTTCAGGCTGGCCTTGTAGTTCAGGCAGTGATCCTCCTGCTTCGGCCTCCGGAAAGGAAATCTGGGATTGCAGGTGTATGCCACCACGCCTGGCCCCTCTTAATGTTATGATTTTAAAACTAAATGAAGCTTTAGAAATTCATGCTACAGATTCCTAAAGTTCATGTCTGTATTTATTCCAAGCTAACTCATTTAAACTATGACTAATAAGTTTTAGTATCACAGACATAGAGAGCTGAAACCAACCAGCAAAGGTGAGGCTACAATAGACTAGAAGGCCAAAAGATTAATGCTGTTACCATTTAACAAAAGAATTTAGATGGCTTCCCCTTAGCAGTGGAAGATCAAAGCATTCCTTCACCCAGATGTGCACTTCTCCAGTTGTTGGAAGCTTTTTACCTATAATTTTTAAAAAGGAGAGAAAAATTTTATAGCTATTTGTCTCTTTACAACAACACATGCAAAGATGTCAGCCTAAAAATGGTCTAGCTCAAGGATACTAGCTCTAGTGCTCAATGGTATTGAATTGGTTAACTATACACTCTAAACTATATCTTTCATAACCTGGTTATACTGAGCTCCGATGACTCTATAATAATAATTCCTAAGAATGAAAAGACTTCATATTGATTTCAAGTATACAGCATCTCATCATTCTGTTTGGGTTTTACTTGGTTCAATAAAATCAAGTGGATGTGGATCACCCACTTACAGTTATACTCAAAACATCTCAGGGAAATAATAATCCTTTCAAACATTAATATCAATATCAACTGGTATTGGTGGAAGACAATTTAAATATATTTGAGAGTAATCCAGGTATGGTGGCACACACCTATAATCCCAGCACTCAGGAAGCTGAGGGAGGAGGATCACCACTAGTTCGAGGCCAGCCTGGGATACATAGTGAGTTCAGGGCCAGCCTGAACTACAAAATGAGTTCCTAACTTAAAAAAAAAGCCTGACAACTCATCACAACACACAATTCCCTGGGTCCCCCAACTACCAAGTGATAGTGAGGAAAATAGAATATGAGGTTGGCATTTTTATGCATGTTGCTCACAAGTGATAGGATACAAATTATATGCAAAAGAATTTGCCTTTTAGGAAAATCCAGAAGTCACAAGACAGCAGCAATTTGGCCCAAATATATGCTTTCCTTGTCCTTCAATATATTTTTTTTTTTTTTTTGAGAC